GCAACAGAAAAAAAAGCAATGCTCTACAAGGCTGTCCCTGGGCTGACCTCCAGGGGAAGGCTCCATCTTGAAGTGTACAGAAGGCTGGGGCTTGGATCTCAGCATTGAGACTGTTGAAGGTTCTCGATATCAAATCTAGGCATCTGCTCTCTCACTCATGAAAGAAATAGACTATTTATTTATTTATTTATTTGGAGCTGCCCTTGAAGCTTGAGAGCAAAACAAAAACAGAGCAAACCTTACGCAACAACATCTCAATGCCTGGAGTCTAACTTGCACCGTTCCTGCCTCTGCAAGTTACTAAATGACTCTGAGTCTCAGAGTTGTCATCTGGACAATAGATGATGTTACCTCATAGGATCACCTGAGAAATAAGTTAGAAAACGTACCTTTAGATGATTAGCACAGTTCCTGACATGTGGTAAAATGCATGACATGCGTTTTAATGATCAAAAGGAGAAAAAGTCTGTCCCTAGATAAAGGCAAAACCCATTATATAATAAACTGATACGTATGTCTGGTAGAAAGAAGGAGGTAGACTCCACCTGCCACTGTCCCAAGATAGTGAGTTCCAGAAATCGCTGTCTGGGTACGTCTTTCCTGGGATGTGGGTAAATTCTAACCATGTCTCAAGACTTTACTGGCTCTCTAGCTATAAGGTTTTTTTCAATAAATGCAGTGTCCAGTCTAATGCATATTACTTCAGATTTAATTTGAAATAGATCCCCTTCTCCCCCAGCCCGTGTGGGGAGGAAAATGGGGGTCTTCTCCCCGACTCACCTAGTCCTCCCGAGGCAGCACCTGTAACCACTCTGGGCTCCAGCCTGTGCGAGGAGGCACCAAAGCCTTCCATGCCAGACTGTGTGCCCTGCTTTGATGTCCTCTGGCTTTGGCAGATGCTCAAAGTCGTTCTCTTAACCACCGGGTCCAGGACTTGAACTGCGATCGACACATGGAAGTTCAGCGACATAGCCATTATGCTAACTGCTGGTCCCATGAAGTTGGCAAATTTAAAAAGAAAAATAAGTGCTTTCTATCCCTAGAGAGGACCCCCCATGTTGTATGGCAGCACTATCTAACGGGGGATCTCTTCCTTCTCCTTTCTACTATCTCTCACTAGAGGGGGTCTCCACTCTCTCCCCCCCACCCCCCAAGGGAACCAGCGCCTGCAGTGTCTGAGGCTTGACATCATCTTCCTCCTCACTGAATGTGACACACATGTGTCTCACACACTCTAGGTGGGATGACTTGCAAAAAACCTTACTGGAATGGAAAATGTGCATACCATTTGATATAGCAATTCCACTCCTAAGAAGTTTTTCTCCTGAGGAAATCATTCAGTGAGTGCCTAGAGATCTATTTATAATCCGTGTGTCTATCAGAGTATTGCTTATGTAAACCCAAATCCCTTCGTACCCACTGATGGTAGACTTGTTAAATAAACCATGATGCAAGCGTGCATGAGAAAGAGGCTACATTACGTGTAATGTGAATCCACGCTTCTCAGCTCAGTCATACCAGTGTCTCCTTTTTATGATAAATGTTTGTGATGCCTCCTTTCCTATCCTGAAATTAAATTCACAGAAAATGTCATCTACACAATGGATTTTAAAAAACCAATATAACGACCCAATAACTCAGATACACAGGGTTAAAAAAAACTCAATGTATTGCCTTGACTGAAAAATAAAGGAGAAATACAAGAGGAGTCGATGTTGATATGTGTCTACATGTCAACACACAGGCGTGAGTAAGCTGGAGACACGCAAATGTCCGAAGGTGGCCCCCGTGTGGGATCACCATGAACACCATGAACAGCCCAGCCAGGCATGCACGGGGAGTGAAGATTTCAGGGGCTGCATTGCTACTGAAGATGGGATTTCCCGGGAAGAACAAAGCCAGGTACAATCCTCCTTAATATCCCTCAATACGTCTAGAAAATGGCATCTATTAAAAACATGCAAAAATGAGTTGTGTCTAAGTTAAAATGAAGTGCTGGTCTTGGTTCAGACTATTCTAAACAGGCTTTTCAACAACACAAATGTCTGGTGTGATCTTTCAGAATTATGTGGGGGTAATTCCCAAGGGAGAGACTGATTTGTAGAATATAGAACGCCTGGCATCCTAGACCCTCATCCACTTCGTGCGGGGAACCCTCCAGCCAAGAAAGTCTCTTCAAATTTCCAATCCACTCTTTTTTATTTATTTATTTTTATTTATTTATTTTTCTGGAGTTTTTTGCTATAGGGCGTGTGTGCTCGCCAGAAAGACAGAGAAACAGAGAGCAATAAATCACACCCCAGGGGGGATAGCCACACCGCAATCCCTTCTCATCCATCCTCCTCTCAGGATCTTGGGCACGCATGCACATGCACCGGCGTGAGTTTTAAGCCACCAGGTCTGGGACTTGAACCGTGGTCGACTACATGGGAGTTCAGTGACATAGCCATTATGCTAACTGCTGGTCCCCTCCAATCCACTCTTGAAATGGGCCAGAACGGCCTCTCTGAGGATCCATTACTGCTGATCTGCATTTACTGGCAGGGAAAGGAGTCTACACTAAGTATTAATAAATACAACGTAGAGTGAAGTAAAAATGCGGGCTTAAAACTCAACATCTACACCCTGATTCCACTTTTGAAAAGGGAAAAGCAAAGAATGACAGCATGAGAGAAAAATCCGTGCATGTCCAGTGAGGGAAAAATCTGAACACATATAAACCAATACACTCACTGTGGTTGTCTCAGGAGAGTGAGATTATAGGTCATGTTCATTTTCTAATGTCTACTTTTCTGTATTGACTGGGTTTTTAGAATGATACATTACTTTTGTCATCAGAAAACCCAAACTACTTCCATCTGAAAAATAAATAAAAGGGGAAGGCAACAGAGCAAGGCTTCTCAACCTCAGCAGGACTGACATTGGGGGTCAGACCTTTCTTTTTTTCTAGGAGACTGTCCTGTGCTTTGCAGGTGGCACAGTAGCACCCTTGATCTCTACCCACTGGATGCCAGTAGCATCTTCCCACCAAGGGCTGACAGCCCAGCCTGCCTCTGGATATTGCCAAATGATCCCTAGCTGGCAGACACTGTTGCAGAGGAGTGAAAACTCAGGCTCTAGGACCCAGATGGTTGTGCAACAGAAAAAAAAGCAATGCTCTACAAGGCTGTCCCTGGGCTGACCTCCAGGGGAAGGCTCCATCTTGAAGTGTACAGAAGGCTGGGGCTTGGATCTCAGCATTGAGACTGTTGAAGGTTCTCGATATCAAATCTAGGCATCTGCTCTCTCACTCATGAAAGAAATAGACTATTTATTTATTTATTTATTTGGAGCTGCCCTTGAAGCTTGAGAGCAAAACAAAAACAGAGCAAACCTTACGCAACAACATCTCAATGCCTGGAGTCTAACTTGCACCGTTCCTGCCTCTGCAAGTTACTAAATGACTCTGAGTCTCAGAGTTGTCATCTGGACAATAGATGATGTTACCTCATAGGATCACCTGAGAAATAAGTTAGAAAACGTACCTTTAGATGATTAGCACAGTTCCTGACATGTGGTAAAATGCATGACATGCGTTTTAATGATCAAAAGGAGAAAAAGTCTGTCCCTAGATAAAGGCAAAACCCATTATATAATAAACTGATACGTATGTCTGGTAGAAAGAAGGAGGTAGACTCCACCTGCCACTGTCCCAAGATAGTGAGTTCCAGAAATCGCTGTCTGGGTACGTCTTTCCTGGGATGTGGGTAAATTCTAACCATGTCTCAAGACTTTACTGGCTCTCTAGCTATAAGGTTTTTTTCAATAAATGCAGTGTCCAGTCTAATGCATATTACTTCAGATTTAATTTGAAATAGATCCCCTTCTCCCCCAGCCCGTGTGGGGAGGAAAATGGGGGTCTTCTCCCCGACTCACCTAGTCCTCCCGAGGCAGCACCTGTAACCACTCTGGGCTCCAGCCTGTGCGAGGAGGCACCAAAGCCTTCCATGCCAGACTGTGTGCCCTGCTTTGATGTCCTCTGGCTTTGGCAGATGCTCAAAGTCGTTCTCTTAGGTCTTAGTGGGAGAGGGATTGTTTTTCAGTCATCCACATAGGCTCTGCTCTAGTTCTCAAGGAAGCAGGCAGTGCCTCCTCTTCCTGCTGCAGTTTCCAAAGCCTTTTCCACTGTCTGACCTGAAGATTCACACTTTGGGAGTTGCCTCACCCTGCAGGCAGCCTCTGAGGATCCACTGACATCCCATTTCCTCTGGAGGGGGAAGACTCTCCTCCACTCTCGGCCTTCGGGCTGGTGACACAGTGTGCAGATGGGTTCTCTGCTCACTGCACCCTCACCCCAGTGGATGTGCCTTAAGCCAGCCCAGTGGCCTCTGATCCCCTGACAGCCTGAGGTGAGGGTGGGAGCAGCCCACGTTTCCCTGTGCAGTAGTGAGGGGATTGGGGGGACTGCGACACACACCATTTCTTCCCAAAGGAATCCCTCGCTCCAGCAGCCTCACCTTGGCCTCCTCTGCAGAGAAAGGCTGCTTCTACCAGATTCGGTCAGCTAGCCCAACCTGTATCATTTAGGGTGTGGTGCGACATGGTCTTGTGGGCTCCGGACAAAAGAGAAAAAAAAAGTTTCTGTGAGCATCCAGGTGACCACACCTCCTCGGTCCCCTGTATTACCGAGGGCTTCTTTGCTGCTCCCACGGGGTTCCAGCCACAGTCTCAGACCTCATCTCAGGGAAAGCTAATGTCCCAGCTCCTGGGGAAGTTTGCTTTTTCCAGGGAAGGGATTTCTCTGGAAATGAGGCTGCCTGGCAGGGTACCAAATGCTGCCAGCACTGGCTCCTCAGCGGCGAGGTCCTTAGCAGCACGAGATGGCAGAGGGCATGCGCTACATTCATGCTTGGCTCTCAGTGCCTCCCCAGCCCTGGAATCCCAAGCGTCCACAATAAAGAGCTCATTCAGGCTGATGAATCAGACCCTGCAGGGCCTGAAAGGGCCACTTCAGCTTCCAGAGCTGCTTTAGCTGATCGCCAGAAAATGCAGAATAGCGGTGGAGGCATTCACATGGGTCTAACACAGGGAAAGTGCTTTGTAAGTGGAGTCGAGTGAACTCGGTGGAGACAGACCTTGGACTTCAACCCAGGGCCCTTGGGGTCAAGTTTGAGCAGATGTTTCCAAACTGGGAATCTCTGGACCAGCACTGTCAACTTTGCCCCACCTGGAACTGTGCTCGAAATGCAAATATACAGGCCTCACTCCAGACCCACTGAACCAGACACTCTGGGGGAAAGCCTAGGAATTCATACTTCAACAAGCCCTCCAGGTGAGTCTGATGCTGCTCAACTGAGAAGCTTGCTTTGGAGCTATTCTATGGGGAAGGGGCTTAAGCATACCCCGTGGTTTGTCTGGGGATGGAAATCTGAGCTTGGCACATAGGGGAGTTCATTTGCATGGTGTGGTATTGGGATAGTGAGAAATTGTATTTAATTCATCATGACTGGCTTCTCCTAGAGCGCTCTTGAGCCCTGGGAAGGAAGGGGGAATGTGATAACAATGAAGAAGCACATCATTCTGGAGCCTTCACAGATGCTGGGCCTAACTCCCAGAATACAGCCCTGAAGCAGCAGTCGGCCATGAGAGCAGTAGCAGAGTGACTGGTCAGATCCTGTCTAGGTGAGTCAGTCACCTCTGGGGCCTCCTGTCATTCATCCCTTCATCCATTCATTTACTGACTCAGCAAATATTATTTAGGCATTGATTATGGGCCAGGTATGGTGTGTGCCCAGACTGAGGACACAGAGGTAAATAAGACGGATATCACTCCTGCCCTGCTGAGGCCTATAGTCAGTCAAGGACACAGATTTTAAACAACGCATTATGCACAGTCACGACTGGAGGAGTTTGTGAAGGAGAAGTGTTAGCTGTTCTCAGAGAACCCCAGAGAAGCTCAGTGGAGGGGCTGAAAGGGCCAGAGGAACAAAATAATAAAGACCCACACTTGTGCCTGCAAGAAGCCATCCCTAGGACTGGAGGGGAAAACATAAATGCAGAGAATCTTGATGAAGTGGTTGGTTTTGTGGACACGGGTAAAACTTAGGGTGATGTGATACAATTTCTATTTGTTTCTTGCCTGGAATTCATGTCTAAAGACAGTCTACAAAAGTCAGCATCAAAGAAATAGGGCAGCCATTCAATAACGAATGCTCTTTCTATAGGGGGAGACTAACACTTCTTGGAAAAATGGAATTAAGGTGTGAGTTTATTTTGGTGCAAAAACATTTGGAAATCCACGCATCGCCTTCTCACGATATACATTTCCATGACATTTTTGAAGACCAGTTGTACATGGAAAGTCTCCCACTGGCCAGTTTTTGAGCCTGGGATTTAGAAGCAAATGGATTACACAGTGGCAGTGGCCAGAGTTTGGAGGGGAGAAACATGGCGGCCTTGATGCTCAGTACAAGGTTCTACTCCCTAGGATGCCCACCTTCGCCCTCACCATCGTGGTGAGAGCCTTGTTCTTCCAGCGTGCCTTTGATCAAGGGGTGGATGCTGTCTATGAGCACATCAGCCATGGGAAGCTGTGGAGACACATCAAGCACAAGTACAAGAACAAGGAGTAGTTCCTGGGAGGCACCCATCCAGGCCAGAAGGACCAGGTCCACCCACTACCTGTTTGCCCAGAGCAGGGATCTCAGCTTGAAGATGGTGTCGAAGTTCTCCTTCACGGACTACCTGTAGCTATTGGCAAGAAATGACTTCACCTGACAAGCAGGCTCTTTACCTTCTGCTGTGTTTGAGGTATCTTTAGTCACGGTCATAAACAAATAAATGTAAATTGTACCTGGAAAAAAAAAAAAGGAAATGAATTATGCAGTGAGAAGAGAGAGAGGGACGGGGACAGATGATTAGCTCAACTTGGACAATGTTTGTAAAGTGCTAACAGCCCCCAGAGAGTTGCTCCTGGAAGCAATTGGGGTGGGAGTGAATGACCATTCTCTTCCCATTTGCTCCTAATCCAGTGTACTTAGCTGGATAAAAACCCAGGGCCACCAATAAAAAGCTAAATTATACCCATATTTTTATATTAGTAAAATGGGAACACGTGAGGTAAAACTTAGATAAATGTATGTGAAAAATAGTGAAAGCTACATGCTTGGGGACTTTCTTATAATCACTTTGTGTCTTCGGAATACTTCTCAAATGATAGTTTAAAATTTGACTGTGGGATGCTAGAACTAAACAAAGAATTGAATGCCTTAATTCACAAGTCACTAGTTGAATTAGAGCTCTCGTGGGGAAAAATAGTTCCCTCCAAACAGTCCTCTTAGCTCAGATTTCAACAGCACCAGAAACAAGAGGGCATCTCAATGGGTCCCATCAGATTTTCTTTGTACCATCATTTTGATCACTTTAGATCCTCATTTAACCACCACTACCCTCAATTAAAAAAAAAAAAAAGTCAACTTTAATAGGGCTTTCAAAATCCAGTTAGCTTAAGTGCTGCATTATTAAAAAGCCATCCCTTAACTACTAAAGCAGGCCCGTAAAACACAATTTCACGGAGTGGCCCCAGGGTAAATGTGTTTCATTTAAGTTGTATTTTGATGTCTATAGGCTTATCAAACACAGGGAAGGTATTCTCTGAAATAAACTTATTCAGGATATAATCAACTTACTTTCAATTTCTGGGTTAAAAGAAAGAGGTGTGTCAGATAAACTCGTCCTCTTTGGAGGGATGGTTTTCTTATTTGGCAATTATTGGTGAGGTCTTCATGTTTTTTTAAAAAAAATATTTTAGCAAAGAATGATTTAATTTATATATTTTTTAAAAATAATTATTTATTTTTATTTTTTTTAATTTATTCATTTACTTATTTTAATTTAACCAGAGAGAGAGAGACACAGAGAAAGAGAGAAAGTGAGAAAGCAAGCCACCAGGTCCAGGACTTGAACCATGATCGGCCATGTGGGAATGTCCAGCGCCTTAACCACCACAACATCTGCTGGTCCCCCCCTGTCTATTTTTAATTTGACCAGAGAGGGACAGAGAGAGAGAGGAGAGAGAAAGAGAGAGAGAAGGAAAGTGAGAAAGCAAGTCGCCAGGTCCAGGACTCGAACTATAGTTGGCCATGTGGGAATCCAGCACCCTTAACCACCATGCCACCTGCTTGAGCCCCCAAAGTTATTTTTATTGTCAGGGGTATGTACATGCACAAGAGATGAGAAGAGAGAGAGAGAATCTATCAATGGGGCGTGGCAATATTGTAATTCTTTTTCCGTCACATCTCTGTTTCACCAGGATTTCACTAGGGCTGAGATTTGAACTACAGTTGGCCACGTGCGATCTGGCTTTTGATGCACACCTGGCCTTACTGTGGGTCTTGAATGTATTTCTGATTTGAATCCTTGACCATGAGCCCTTGGCTGTCTTTTCTGATGTGTGAAACTACATTTTCCTAGAAACCCCCACGTCCCTGGGCCTAAAGAGCAACAGAAATCACAATGATTACATATTTCTGGGCCTCACTGCACCCTCCCGGGACAGATACCTAGGCAGCTCCTCTCCACAAATGTTTGTCCTTCTTCTTCTTCAAGGTGGAAGTTTCAGCCAAGCTCTTTTTTTTTTTTTTTTGGAAAGGTTTATTTTTGCTATAGGGCATGTGCGCTCACCAGAGAGACAGAGAGAGACAGAGAGACAGAAAGTGAGAAATCACCACCAGGGGGATGGCCATGCCACAATCCCTTCTCCTCCATTCTCCTATCGGAATCTTGGGCACACACACACACACGCGCCTGGCATGAGTTTAAGCCACCAGGTTCAGGACTTGAACCATGGTCGACT